TGTTGCCAAAAAGATACGGTATCGTAGTACAATTGATCGAATATGTTGATAAAACTCAAAAACGTTTCTATGATACATTGCAATTCTTTTTATCTTTTTTTCCATTTTACAAAGCACTTTTTAACGTCAACAAAATTTCTTTCTATTAAAACTAACAACCAAATTGAGAAAATATGTTTTTTCCATGAAATCTTTACAATTTTATAGATACTAGTAAGCACGTCAAGGACCAAATACTCTTATCGCAACTGACGATACTGATTCCAAGAATGAATCCATTGAATCTATCATAAACCAAGGTCAGTTATATACATTTTGTAACTGCTGAATGGTTTTATACCGTGCAATATGCTGGATTGAAAAAATCAAATAAAAAAACCATCAAATCTAGAAATGAAGCCTTCATAAATAACAAACACACTTATCAAGCGTTTAATTGTTTCAAATGGACGTTTTCAAATGTACCAAGTATTCAGAAATGTCATCGCTCATCAAAATATAAAGTGTTTTTCAAAAATACAAAGGCTAGCTTTGTCGTGAGTGTACTTAATTTGTTTATCGATAGTGGTATTGATTGTGGGGGTTTAATCAAACAGATAAACTGTAATTATAAACTGAAAAACTGACAAAACATCAAGGCTGGAACGAAAGAAAACAATACGTCATTTAAAGTTTGCACTTGTTGCCCTTCTCAGAGACGTATCTAAATATCGAATAAACTGTAGGCACAAATTGTGGCATGGGGTCTGGGGGCCGCTAAAGGCCCCCGGCAGGTCCAGGGCAGATCCCTGGTAGGGGGGTTCCGGGGGGCGAAGACCCCCGACGGAAAACGGTTTTCAGCATTTTTAGTTGCAAAGTTTTGTATACAAAAAACATAAAATTTACTGGTCCAAAATGCATTTTATCATGCATGATAATATACATGAAGAAAAGTTCGAAGAATTACAAATAATTTTACAATAACATCATACTAATGAATTAACGCATTACAATCGGAAATCTAAAAAAAAATATTAACGATATGCATTGCCCAGCGTAGATCAGCGCAACCCTTTAATTAAGCGGTACATCCTCTTTAGTATTTTCATATCTATTCCTTTTTGATTGAGGATAATTGATATATATGTACATATTGACTATCCTTCATTAAAGAAATAGGCACGTAAACACTGAGACTACTACATTTATATAATAATACTATCCTTTTGACTAGGCATCGACCATTCATCTTTTGATTCTTAAACCTTTACCCTCCCCGGCCACACAAACACAGTCGATGCCTAATGCAGAAGTTCGGTTCTGTTTATACTATCAAACAAAATTCAAGAAATTCATATTTTTTTATATCCTGTACTGTAAAATCCCTACCTGCCTAAGAATTTGAATAATTATTGTCATTACTCGTAGATTTGAGACTACTCAAAATTACTGAAAGCTAGTTGATTTATTGATTGATTGCTAAACGTCCAGTGGCAAATAGTTCATGCATGTTCAGGACAAAAACAAATTTACAACAAATACAACAGGTAGGTACAGTAAAAGGGTTCGTCCAGGATGAAGGTCAGGAAATTTTGAAATGCCTTTGGAAAATGAGGATATTATTGGATAGGGACAGAAATTTTGCCTTGCAGCAGACCACCTACGGACCCCTGAAAGAGTTGTTGTGGGTGTTTTTTACGTGCAGATAGCGTGGCATTCTCTCTACACTAGGCATCGGATTTAACGTCCCCTTCTATTCATACATCCCGCACAACCAAACGGACGCCCCACTTTGTCAAGGTTTTTATTGTAGGTCTGATGAAGCCTAAGTGGAAAGCTAGTTGAAAGCCAACAACTAATAAAAAAAAAACATGTTTCTAAGAATTAAATGTAAGGGTTTTGAGCATGTTGAGGTTAATTCAAGTATTTGTTGATAGAAGTGAAATGATCTGAACCAAAGTTCTAGTTTTTAGTTTCTATATAAGGTGGAATATCATGTACATACAATTCTATCTACTACTCGGAATCTCCTTTCACTAAGGATGATAGACTAGCGTACAATTAAAGAGTTTTAACGACTTCACGTGCGTCTACAGATAACGTTGTCCGGCCATTATTTAAAAAAAAATATTTGTGAAAAACATTATGTGTAGGCACGTGCCTAAAGTACCTAACGGCAGCTACGCCCCTGCTTCTGTCACAATATAAGATCTCAGTTTTTTTAAAACAAATCAATGTTAAAAAAATATGATGAATAAAGTTATTTTTACTTTGTTTATAGATATAAATATGCCGTACAGTATAGGTGCCTCTGAAGGATAAGAAGTTCCTGTATTAAATGAATAAGCGTGATTTGAAAAGTAATTGTTTGTATAATGGCTGTATGAATGTTTCCCCCCTGATGCTAGAAGGAATTATAGATATTTATTTTTTTTCCGATGTGTTAAACTGCTGTCTTAATGGGACATGCCCCATATTTTATCTTATTTATAGCAGAATTGCAAAACGATATACTTATGATTTATACCGCTTCATACCTATATTTTTATAATTGTCTTTGAAGGAAAATAAAACTCTTCATATACGTTCAACCATTTAATCTGACATTGTAATTGAGTTATTTCATGAAAATCAAATTATAAACTTTTCATTGTTTAATAGTGCTGGTACAACTAACTTTTAGATTCAAAATTTCAGCTTTAATTTTTCAATAGATTTAGTTTTCTTTGGATACTGGTGATACAAATTTTTGTTGCATCTCGGAGCAAAATTTAACAATCTTTTAAAAGTGCGAGGTTATGATGCCATAAAAAAAGAAAATGTGAGGTAATAGAAAATAGGCAAACATTGACCCGGTTTGCAGTTGTTCTTATAGCATCTGAAATTTGTTCCATTTTGCCAATATAATTGAACCTTCAGTTTCATTTGGACTGTTTTGCAAAATTTTCTGTTTCAAATACGCGACATATGTTGAATATTCTTCCTATTTGGTTTAAAACAACACAACAAGGAAGTTCTCAGTTACAATTAGATGTTCTAACAGAGTAATACAATCATTACGTCCAATCCTTTATAACGCATTGTAAACAGCTCAATGTTATAAGGTAAATTAAATAATACAACCTTAAGCATTCGTAACACAAAACATAAACATTTCCTTAGTGATTAAGTGTACATCATTTCTTTTCAACTTTTTAATTGTTGATTTGAGAATTGACGAGAGTCTTCTAGGAATGAAACCGCTCACATGCATTCATCTTCAAACGACTTTAAAAAAAGCAGCTAAATATTTAAGAGATTAGACCAGTTTTCTCTAAATTTGTTTCACATCGTGGTTATTTTGAAAATATCTTTAAATTCACAGTATCTTAACGTTGAGGTTGTAACAATAAATTCTAAACAAATGACCAATAATGAATGCTGGATGATAGCTTAAAACTTGACACGTTTGAGTATTTACCAATATTTCGTATAAGCAGGACATGTTTAACCAAAACTAAAATTCTAACGGAAGTGAAGCTCTACATTATATTCCAGATACCAATTAGTTCGTTTTGTTAAAGATATCTTTTGATGCTAACTTTTTCAATAACAGGTAAAACTTGCAACAGCAAATATGTAGCACTGACTAACATTTCTAGTTCACAAAAGTGTAAAAAAAAGAACATTGTTTTCAATATGTTATTATACAACACCTAAGATATTAAAAAAAGTAGGTTTAACACCTTCCGTGCTTTTATCTTCTGAGTGAAACTGATAGAGGGGAAAATGGCCCTTCCCTTTTTGCACTTGTAAGATTTATTAATTTTGAATATTTGAAAAGTGACATCAGCTGAAACCAAAGTTTACAGTATTTATATTTCATAGATTCATTTAAATTTTTTAATAGACCTTATCTATTACAGGAGTCAATATTCTGATTACAACAATTAAAAAATCATGACTCGAACTGAAAGCGGAATATTGGTAATTTAAAGATAACATGTAAATACGTGATGCATTTGTAATTTCTTTGTGGTTTTATTCAATTTCAATTTTTATAAATTTGATGAGATATATTTTATTGCATATCTTGAATTCGACACAACTTTATAGATTTTTTTGTTTTGTTCGTTTTAATTTTTTTGCCTTTCAATCAACAGCAAATTTGCCAAACGTATATTTCCAACATTTGTTGTTGAAACTAAAGTAATAACAGACCACATGTAGATGAAAATCAAAATAGTTTTTTTCAGTTTTTCCTTTTGTTTTCTTTTATATATCATCTTTCGCTTCTACTATGTAGCTCGTGTATCATATGCAAATGATTTTGCATGAAAAAGCCATCAAAACTATTTAAAGGTTTAAATTTTATAAAAGAACAAATCTTTTCACAGACGCATCAGAATTTTAGTTCATTCATGAAATTTTCTAAAGACGAGGTCAACACTGCAATCGAAATCAGAAATCGGGATTAAGAAGATAATTTGCAGTGTTATTTGATATGTACGACAGACAAAATATTTTCATTTCGTATATCTTAAAATGAAACAGTGCACAAGGTTTAACGAATGAATTTCAACTTTAGAAACTTTAGAATTCCAGTCCTTTTACTTAGGTTAAAACAAATACGTCTAAAGAATTTGAACTCAAAGCAGTCATTCAGTTATATAATGGAATACTTCCTAATTTCATTCCAGTCTTGTTAACGTTTTTCAACTAAATATATTCCATGGTTCAAAGTTATTTTTGCTCTGTTGTACTTTTACGTGTTTCTGCTTCAGAAACGTGGTGATACCATCATATTTATTATCCATTAAAGAAACACGCTTCGTTTCCACAATTCATTCATTAATAAGACGTTATGTATTAAAGAGATTACATACAACTTAAACTATTTCTTATGAAATATTAGTTATAATAAATGAAAAAATTATCAGTCTGGAAATATAGCTAACTAAATGGAAAAACAAATTATTTGTTGACAAAAAATCTTTCAAAAAAATTATTAAATTCAAATATTGAAAATTAAAATAACTTACATAAGGATAACTATACGAAATTTCCAAGTTTGCGTTCCTCTCTCTCTCAGTTTCAAAACCATTAACTTCTCTGCTTTCAGCAGATTATAAAAGAAGCATAATTTCATGAAATCGATCACACCAAACTGCCAATCAAACTCCGCCTGAGATAACCGTTTATATTGTCAATACTTAATGGTAACTAATTTCTCTAAAATACTGTCAAGACGAGGCTAATTGGAAGCCGTATTAATAATTGCGGTGAATTGTAATTTTACTGTTACAAATAGCACCTTTTAATCATTCGCTGACAAATAATTAATTAGGATTTGTTTCTATATTTATCATTCATTATTAGTTATTTGTAAAATTATACACCTTATTGGAAAAAAAAATAGATGAAACAAAAGCTTTCAATATTTTTTTCCAAAATCAGATAATATGGATAATATTGATGATGTCATCAGCTAAACAAAAATGCTAACTTATTATGAAAGAGGATTTTTGTTCACGTATGAAATATTGAAGTTCAATAATCGGTATGATTACCATATCCTATTGTTTTTTGACAATGAGTTATAATAAAACAATTTTATTTAACAAAAACTCAAAACATTTCCCCTTTGAAAATCACAAAGAATAAAGAGTAAATGTATCGATAAGTTAAGCTTCCAATTTAATTAATCTGTTTAATAAATAGAATACGACTATTCTGAACAACTGATAGTGGACCAATAATTATATTTATGGAGAGTATCTTTAATTAGTTTCAATTTATATAAAGGATGTTGTTTTCAATAAATAGATATCAATCAATTGTATAATAGATAACGAAAGTAAATCAATTCCTGGTTACATTTCACAATACGCAAGTAATAAAATCGCTGTCATTGACCACAAAAGGAGAAATTGTTACATTAATACATTTATAGTCTAAGTTTATATGGTCCAAGTGGAGAAATTGTTACATGAATACATTTATAGTCTAAGTTTATATGGTCCAAGTGGAGAAATTGGTACAATAATACATTTATAGTCTAAGTTTATATGGTCCAAGTGGAGAAATTGGTACAATAATACATTTATAGTCTAAGTTTATATGGTCCAAGTGGAGAAATTGGTACAATTATACATTTATAGTCTAAGTTTATATGGTCCAAGTGGAGAAATTGGTACAATAATACATTTATAGTCTAAGTTTATATGATCCAAGTGAAGAAATTGGTACAATAATACATTTATAGTCTAAGTTTATATGGTCCAAGTGGAAAAATTGGTACAATAATACATTTATAGTCTAAGTTTATATGGTCAAAAATGGAGAAATTGGTACAATAATACATTTATAGTCTAAGTTTATATGGTCCAAATGGAGAAATTGGTACAATAATACATTTAAAGTCTAAGTTTATATGGTCCAAAATCCATTTTGAATATACGAATCAATGTAAAACAGAGGGAATCACATTACATTTTGTGTAACTGCAAACGAAGCGAGACTAGATGCGTCTCCTACTCTGCATGCATAGCCAGTCAGGCGAATCTACGTTTAGTCAAAATATCAAAATACGGAAAAAGACGCAATCGGTAAATTTACAAAAATAAAAATAATGATGAAAAGGTACTAGAATAAGTATTAAAATTATTTGTATAAAACAATCAGAGAAAGTCTATGCAATATGACGAAAAAGATAAGTATTTTTGAATAAAACAGTTTATCTAGGTATAAGTATGAAACTCAAGTTCAGATAAATTGTACAAATGGGAAAACGTGCACATTGTCATACGTACTATTCAAACAAACATTATTTGCATAATATGTGAGTTCAATTGGAAATTAAATCACAACGGATTGAGACCAGATAAGTGTGTCCTAAAATGGAAAAATGACACAAGGAAAACTGAGCCATTGCGTTTGTCATAGAATATAGTATTCAGCTGTCCATCACCAACAACTTCAAAAAGAGAAACATATCTTAATATGAACCAAGATATTCTCAAGACCAAGTTCACAGGGATATGTGAGAATTGATTCAAGAAATGTATTTTGGAGACAGATTAAAATAAGCAATGCTGCTTTTTTCTGAATCTTATTATTTTGTTATGTATTATCTTTTATAGCATGATATTTTTTCATTGAATAAAGTATTGTTTAAACAAAGAAAAGAATTACTAGTATTCAATACTGGTTCATCAATGATATGTCTGAAATCGTATGTTGTTTTATGATTTTTTCTTGTCATTATGAAGGTTTGTAGTAAATGTTCTTCTCAAGAGTTAGTATGAGCTAGTACAAACTGACTATCGAGTGAATGTTGACATTTCAATCCGTCAAAAAACAACAACTTTATTATGTTATCAATCAAAAAGAACAGTAAAGTGTGATAAATTCTACTTCAGAGTATTTGTTTTTTGGACTAGTGTGCGATCTAAAACAAGTTGACATTTGCACGGCCAAAATAGAAAATACAGATACGTAATGAGAATTTTAAACTAAGGGAAAACATAGAAAAAGAGGAAGAAAATGTAAAAAAAAAGGATCTCCCGTTTTTTGTATACCTAAACTTCACAAAAACCCTTTAAAATATCCATACATAGACGGGTCTTCAAACTGTTCGAATTAACATCAGTCTAAAGTTCGTAATTCCATTCTTTCTACAACAAGAGAAATGGCATTACGAATTATTGTGACGAGGTATATTAAACCAGCGGTGACAAACAGTTGTAAATTCTTAAAATTCTAAGGATCTACTGCAAAAATTTCGTTCACAATCTTACAGTAATATCAAAACTTTTTATTTTACTACGCTTAACACTACTATTCCCCATGCTCAATTGAAGGATCGAATACGTCATCTCATTAACCAGAGCTTTTTTTAATTCAAAATGGAATTTCTTGTTTAAGGTCACTAAAAATATTACTTTGTGAAGAACTGAACGGATTTCAAAAACAAATATACCGAAGTTGATGTTATCAAAATGACGTTTTAGTCTACAACACATTTTATTGAATCTTGAGGATTTAATGGGACGATTATTCTATTTCTCAACCCACTCATATTAGATCTTAGTATTCCAGAATAGTCGCCTTATCTGTAAATTTACCGATTGTGCCCTATTCCTGATTGTGACTTGTTGCTGAGTGAAGATTCGCATGGCAGGTAATGAATGCGAAGCAGGAGACGCTCACCATGTCGACACACCGGTCTTGCTCCTTCAATTATATCAGATTTTGTTTGTTACTTTGATCTGTTTTATTAATCGATTAATGAGATTTGAACATTGCATAACGACTGTTACGTAAATGTATAGCAGAAACTTGTAGGAAACATGCATGCGAGAAATTTTGTCTTTAAAACAAACTTAGATAAGATGAAATTAAGATTTAAAGTTAATAATATATTTTTAATAAAATTTACAAATAAAATCACAAAAGAAGATATTAAAGGACAATCCCTGGTCGAAGACGGACACAAAAAAAGCAAACAAAACAAACTCTATAAAGTTCAACTATATTTTGCAAGTTGACAATTTTATTTTAATGAACATAAGTTTCTAACTTACAGTATTTGATTGCCCTTAATGCCAATTCTTTTAGTAAAAATATCACAGTAAATTTATCAATCTTATAATCTATTGGATTAAAATGTGCTACCATTCAGTCAACATCACCACTAGTTTTGACATAAGTAAGAACGTAAATATCTATCGGGATCTTGGAAATAGTTTAAAGGTATAATTAAATTTCACAATATAAATTGTAGAAAGCTAGTAGGGAAGGTTTGTGCTCGCGCAGAGCTGGTTAAACACCACGATGATGTCCAAAAAATAAATGACGAAAAACACAACAGTCCACAAAACATTACACCGTATACTAAATATTAAGCAAATCCACGTTATAACCTCAACAGCAAAAGATGAGGAAACGTGTTGCGTTACACTTGTACTATACGAAGTTATGATAGAAAGTTGAACAATCCGTAAATCATTCTTATTCATTTGTTAATCGTGTTCGTTGAATTGTATTGAGATTGTGTTGGAGATTATGGTTATACGAAAATGGATTATATCCATCAACTTCAACAGAATTTTTAACGGTCCACCAACCAAACTTTGGGATTTGACAATTGTGTTTAGGGCTTTTGTATGATGGTATACACAAGCAAAGAAGGCAACACTATTTGACTCAATCGGGAAAAGCACGAAGATTGCAGTCATCTCAGACCGACGAACTGTGACATTAAGCATACATGTAAGCGTATATATTCTATTGTACGTATAGAGAAACCGTAACAAGCGTACAGTGCTCATGTCGACTACAGAATTCGGTTAAAGTGTACTAATTATAACAGTTCCACTACTAGAGGAAATTCACAAAAAAGAATATAGACCACTACGAGTTTAGTTTGATTTCAAGTAAATAATTTGATATCGGATATGTTCCTTATGTCGTAATTACAATCCACTTCCTTTTTCACCACGAATGTGACCTACCGAATAAGATTATTTACCGGATTTGTAATAACATGAGCAACACGACGGGTGCCACATGTGGAGCAGGATCTGCTTACCCTTCCGGAGCACCTGAGATCACCCCCAGTTTTTGGTGGGGTTCGTGTTGCTTAGTCTTTAGTTTTCTATGTTGTGTCTTGTGTACTATTATTTATCTGTTTGTCTTTTTATTTTTTAGCCATGGCGTTGTCAGTTTATTTTCGATCTATGAGTTTGACTGTGCCTCAGGTATATTTAGCCCCTCTTTTAGGGACACAGCTTATTTATGCAAGCCTTTAGAACTGAATTGAATTCAAACTTTACATAGAAATGCTTCCAAATACGATATTTAACGTACACAATTGATATTTATTTTAAAGTAAATGAAATAAATACCTCACAAAACGGTTTCAAAGTTTTCACAGCATATTATATTTGATCAGCATATTTTCAATTAAAAATTCAGCTCGTAATGTTGACATATCGTAATTGTTATGTGTAACACGGTTCACTGTTGCATATTACTAAACCCGAGTAATTTTCAAGACAAATCTGAATTTCACTGAATAGTTTCGTTCAAATATGTTTTAAGTGTCGTGCATTCATCAATAAAAGAAAAGATAGCAATTGATATCAAA